CCCTTTTTTGAAACCTAAGCAACCTTTTAGAACCACAAAAAAAAAAACAATACAAGGCAAGGAACAATCAACCCTAAAAGTCTTGCCCAAGCTTTCACAAGGGACACGATCTTGCCTAAAGAGCCAAAGTTTATAAGAAACTACTACCCGACACAACCACAAACACCTTCAGATCATAGAACAATGTTATCTTAATCGAAGAGTGCTTTAAGAAGTTTCAAAAAGTGCTTTCCAAATTTTGCGCTTTTCATTGAGCCAATGTTCCATTTTAAAGATATGTTAGTAGAGTTATTCAATCGGGTAAATTTAACTACCATTTGATTGATTTCACTTTACTAATAAAATTAGTTGATCTTCAGTTAGCTTAACTAATTGATATGTTCAGTACATATCCTATTTGAAGGACTGGAATAATATGTTAATCCCTTTCTTAGAATATTAACAAACCTAATGCTTTTATGTGAACGTAAGTACATTTTAGACACTAAGTGAAGTACATGAAAAACACTAAAAAGGAGGGGTTGAGTAGTGTTTATGGAAAAAAAATTTCGTAACCCTTCTGATATAACACGTTATCGAGCATTTGAAATATTTTTTTGAAAGCTTAGATGCTTGACTTGAAATATATGTATATGTGTTGATAAGATTTTTGTGCTATTTAGAATATTTCTACTATAGTGTTTTGGAAGAACTTTCTTAAAAATAAATAATCGTTTCTTGTATTTTGAAATATAAAGCTCAACTGCAGGTTTTTCAAGAGGATCATTTAGTTCAAAGAAGAGAAAATAACACAAGAGATTTTATACTGGTTCACTCCAGCTGAGCTACGTCCAATCTTTTCCGTAGAAGGTTCTACTATAATCTTCACATGATTACAAATAAGTATTAACACCACTCTTGTACTCAACTACCTCGCTGAGATTTCCTCTGAATATTAGCACCACTCTTGGTACTCAGCACCCTGCTGACATTTCCTTTGACTATTCACACCATTTTTGGTACTCAGCATTCTGCCGAGATTTCCTTTGAGTGTTCAAACCACTCCTGGTACTAGACTACCACGCCTAGATTCTTCAACTCGAATAGAGTTCATCTTCAAATATTTTAATTCTCTTTAAAATTGCAATCAACGATTGCTTACAAGTAGTTCAGACTAAATCTCTCTACGAGAGGATTTGATTACAATATTATGCAGTCTAAACACTCACATGTGTTTCTTTCTTCTTTCTTACAGTAATAAGAAATTTGACGCTTAAGCTTGAGAATATCTCTTTCTCTTTTTCTCTTCTCTTCTCTTTTCTTCAGCTCAGATGCATTCTTTTCTTTAACCTCTTTCTCTCTTTTTCTCTTTAGGATGGATATCTCGTTGTAAGCTTTTCTTGTGCTCTTGAGCTATCCTATATTCTATCTTCTTGATTTTCTTCTTGAGAGATCTTCTATTTATAGGCTTCATGAATATTTGTCCGTTAGACTCAGTTTGTAGTTTGTAACCTTGATACTTGTGTTTTCTCTTTCTTCTTTTCACAGCAGTCGTTGTGTAAGTCAACTTTGTCAAAGCAGGCATGGGTTTTTAGTCCTTTGCTTTAAGTAGGTTGTACAATCTTTTTAGTCTTTGCTTTAAGATAGGAACATTATGTGAGTATCTTCTTTGTCTCCAACGTCCACATGTTGATATTTGGTCTAAAACATTGTGGATGCGTGTAGAATAACTTATCTGCAAAATTAAAGTAAACTGCACATTCAGCAGATATGACTTTTCTTATCACTTTTGTTGTTTTTGAATGTTGAGCAATTAATGTTATTTAATGCTTTGCTCATAGCAACAAAGTGTTTTTTGATTTTCTACCGTTAAGTAGCATTTTACAATAAAGCTTTTTAATCTGGAGATACCAAACGTATATAAATACTTCATCATAAGATGAGGTGTTTTATTTAGCTCATGGTATCGTTTGATCAAGTAAACGCTTCTTTGGTTTTTGTCTCTTTTTAGACCGATAACATTTAACTTGCTTATGCTTTCTTATGTGCTTTTAATAATTAAGTCTTTAATGTTTTTGTCGAAGACATTGTCACGAGCTATTTTTTTTTCTCGAGAGAAGCTAAATACCTAATCTAGGTGTTTTAAGCATTGAGCATTCAACTCAATTCTCTCTTGGACACTTTTATACAAGACATCGTCTAGTAATGCGTCTGGATGTTTTAGCCTAAGTGTTTCTTTATTTCCTAGAACCTAAATGTTTTCCTATGATTTCTACGTTTGAGGTTCAAGTTCTAGTTTTTGTCTGTTTGGGGTTTAGGCTCTAAGTCTTGTGTTTTTATCTAGGTTCTTTTCTGGTTATTAACCCGTTTTAATGTTATTTGATTAAACTTTAAAACATGAGATTGTTTGTTTGTATATACAATTTTATCTTTAACACTAACCACATCTTTACTTTTAACTAGAGACTTACTTTTCTAGTAGAGTATTTTGTTACCATTATTAAAACCTTATTGATTATTGGGGCTCATCTGCTTTAACAATATAGACATCAAAGCTTAATTGTGTTGGTAGCTTATCCGAGGGAAATCAAACTTAATAGAAAATCGAACTTGTTCGACAAAATCCCACTTAGAAAATAGTACAAACTAAGGAAAAAAGTATACATTTCCTCATCATGATATTTCATACATTTTGAACAAAAATGGCCAAGGAACCTGGTAACATTATTCCATCCCTCCTCAATCGTTCCTATTAACTTAGCTTTTAAGAATCTCACTCATTTCATCTTAGAAACATTATGTCCAAATTCAGTAAGAACATTTGATTGAAACACATGAAAAAAATCTAGAAGGGGGCGGACGGGGGAAGGGGGTTGAATATAGTTTTTCAAAAACTTTTCGCAAATATATAATAAATACTTTAAGTTTTTGAAAAATGTCTAAGAAAACATATATAAAGGAAAGAAAATAAAATAAACTTATTTTTATGTTGGTTCACTCAACCTAAGCTATGTCTAGTTATCCCTTAAGATTTCTTAAGGGATTCTACTAATCTTTTCAAAGATTGTAATAAGTTTCACCACTCTTGGTTTACAACTATCCAATCTTCCTAATTAGACCGTTTAGCTCAACTTAACGAAACAAACAAGTGTTTTGATTCTCTTCATAATATACAAACACAATGAAAGTGTTTTGGAAACACAAGTATAGATCAAAGCTTTCAAGGATATTATGTTTTTAATACAATGAAATCTGAAGACCTGTTAAAACTTTTTCTTAAACAAAGAAAGCATTGGACAATTTCAGAGAGAATAACAGCGTAAGAGTCAAAGATAATTATTGTTCTTTTCTCTTTATTCAGTTATCTTTATATAGCCTTTTTCGATAAAGATTTGTTACTTAGAAAGAGTTGACTTTGAGGAAGACAAATAGCCTATAGGTACGAAGTCAAGTGCTAGGTAGCGCGAGAGCAACAATGTTTTTTTTTTATAGAGGTGGTGTGTACGAATTCCTCATAGCAAAAAGCATTAAGGAAACATTCTAAGAATGTCTTCCTATCTCTTAACATCCTTCTGATCTTGTACAGACTTTTGAATAAAGCTTGGTATTGTCATGATCTGCACATATAAAGAGAAGAAAAATACCAAAGACAAGAACTACAAATCATACATGCATTTAATGTTATAAATGTTGTAGAACATTTAGGCATGTTTAGTATATAAAGCGTACTAGTCTTTTCTTTTGAGTAGCATAGTGTTTATAAGATACAATGTTTAATAAATCTTTGTCTCAAACATTTTGAAATATTAAACACACTTCCATAAAACATTGTCTTGAGTTTTATAAAATATTATTTAGGCTTAATATAGACGCTATACTTATATTTTTAACAGTGTTTTTATCAAACATATTCTTTAGACAATTTAAGCTATAAACGTTATGTTAAATTTCAAAACAAAAGTTGTAAGATGAACTTATTTTTTTAAATGATTTTTGTCTTAACATTGATGTTCACGGTGAGATTAGAGTTAACACATTTGCTAATCCATTTTTAAAAGTCTCTGCGCAGTGATAATTTTAAGAAATGATAAAATATAAGTATAAAAGTGAATATGAAAATTGAATTAGTATAATACGTTATATATATAGATTATTGAGATCATGATAATATGTTAAAATATTTTATATTCTATTGAAATTTTTTGAAAATAATAAATTATTATAGCTTTAAGATATCATTTTTAAATATTTTCAAAATATTTCTTTGAAATATATTGAAAGGTGATACGAAAGGAAAAAAAAATCCTAAGATATTATGCATTTTTTATATATTTATTTTTAAAAAATCAAACTAGTTTAAAACACATCCGTCAAAATATTTTTTTTCTTATAATATCATTCTTTCATTGAAATTTACTCAGTTGGTTAAACTAATTGAAATCTTTTTAAAAATAATCGATATCACCTTTGAATATATTCAAGATATTTTCTAACATATTAAAAGATAGTACAAAGAAAAAAAAATCTAAAATATCTATACATTTTGTATATATTTATTAAAAAATCAAACTAGTTTAAACATAAGCGTAAATTTTTTTTCTTAGAATATCATTATTTCATTGAAATTTACTGGTTTTTGCCGCTTTTATTCCACTTAAATGAAAAGTCTTTACATCTTTTCTAGACTAAGTCCTAAAAACCAAATCTTCACCAAAAACACAATCACAAAGGGGAATCTATCAAAATAATGATAAATTTAAAAAGAAAAAATAAAAAAGAAAAGAAAAACAAGAGCTGGTAACGATGATCCGAAAGAGAAAGACAGAAGCTTTACGTAACGCAGTCCTACGAGGCATAACCAATAATTGAATCCAATTGAATAATAAAGAAACCGCATAAACTCTGAATACGTCTTCTTTCACACACAACCTTTCATCTCATATCTCAAATTCTGAATTCACATCCATTCATTCAATCAATCAATCAAATCTCCGATTCATTCGAATCCACGTTCCGATCGAATGGATCAACACCACTTCCTCCACCACCACTACCACCACCCTCAGGACCACCGCACCACCCGCTACGCTTCCCTCAACCCTCAATCGCATCACAACCACCACCACCATAACAACCTCCCACCGCCGCCGCCCGCGCCGCCACCGCCTCTCTCCTACCACCGCAGCCTCCACCCGGCTCCCCTGCCGCAACCCTACACCCCTTCCACTCCTCAACAACAACAGCAGCAGCAGCAGCAGCAATTCTCTTTCAATCACCACTCATCTCTCCCACACCGCACCCTCGAAGACGATTCACGTTCCCTCCCCTACGACCTCCTCCCTCGCCGGACCACCGCCATCTCCTGGAACCCTAACCCTAGAACTGACGATTTCGATCGCGAATTCCACCACCACCACCACCGCCCTCCCCCGCCGCCGCCTCCCCCGATCGAAACCCTCCGCTATGACCCCGGGCGTCGTGACCGTCTCGTGGTGGATGCCTACGAGCAAAACCCCAGGGAGGCACTCTCTTGGGGCGGCGGTGACTACCACGCGCCTAGCCAGGGCGACGTAGAGCCCCCGCCCTACGTGCGCGTGTACAGCGTGGAATGTGACGCTGACGTGGCCGGTAGAGGGTCCCGGGTGGAGAGCAAGAGGTGGGTGATGAGTGATAGAGAGAGGGAGAGGGGAAGAGAGTTGCACGAGTCTTCTTCTAATTTAGTTAGCAAGGTTAGTAACACTGACAAATATTATCATGGTTCTGATAATGTGGGTAGGTATAGTAGAGGGAATAGTAGAGAGCGTAGTCATGAATTCGCACGTACTCCTCCTAAGAAACAGATGCAGAAGAAAAGCGCTCTTCTTAGGATTCAGACTGCTAAACCTAATCATAGGAACCGTGAGGTTGAGCAGTTACGGTACCCCAGTTATGGACCTGAAGGTAGCAATGGCTTTTTCAGGGGTAAGGAACAATATTTGGCTCATGGGGTGAAGGGGGAATAGAGAGAAGGGAGCCCTGTTGAGATTGATATCTCTTTTGAGTCCAATTCTCTGGTAGCCAAGGCTATTGTTGCGCCGCCTTCGAGTTCAGTGTCTGTTCCTGATTTGAATGTGACGCCGGTTATGGATTCGGATTTGGGTTCTGGAGAGAAGAATAAAAGGGTTTCGGTCTCTGATGGCTATTATTCTGGTTTGCATCAGCCGTATAGAGTGTCTTCCGTTGTGGTTGTGGATTTAAATAGGTCGCCTTGCAAACGGAATGATAGTTCTGGTTTGGGGAAGGAGGTGAATGTGCGGAAGAGTGTTCAGGATAGTTCTTCTCGGTCTCGTACCAGGGAGGCTGATGATTCTCGTGGGCAAAATGCGGTGCCAAATTCAGTTAAAGCTGGCAATGTCTGTTCTGGTAAATCGACCATAACGGTTGTCAAGAAGAAGAAAATTGTTAAGAGATTGGTGAAGAAAGCTAGTGCAAATTCTAGGACATCTGTGCCAAATTCACTGCAAAAAAGGCTTCCTGGAACTGTGAAAGTCGAGAGTGCTGCACTGATTTCGTCAACGGCCTCTATTCCTGAGAAAATTCAAGCTAATTCAGATGACAAAAGCAACATATATGATGAAGGGCCAGACTGTTTACATTCTTTGCCAAAGGAAGGTAGTGTATTGAAAGAAGATAAAGAGGGAGGTTTACTTCAGCTGAGTTTGGGGCCAGATTACACATCGCAAGAGTGTTACAAAGATTCTGATAATAGGGAACTGTCCAGGTTTGAAATTGAAAGAGATGAAAACATTCCAAAATTTTCTTCTCGTGCTTCTAGTAGTGAAGATAAGAAGAGTGATTCAGATTGTTTAGATGTTAATAATGATGTCCTTGATAATGGAAATATTATTTTTATGCATGATAATGCAAATACTTCCGATTGTTTAGCTGCAAATAATTCTGTTCCAGGTACTATTGCTGAAGTCAATCACATGGATTATGATAATAAGCAATTATGTCAGAATGAAGGGTCTCTATCGGTTGGGAATTATTCAAATGTACAATCCCCACTGAATAACAATCTTGTAGATGCAGGGGATGAGATATTAAAAACCAGCGATACTTTTTCAAGTTCAAGAAAAATTGGGATTCAAGATGGTCTAGATTGCCTACAACATGCCAGTGCACTGAAGCAAGGCTCTGATAATGGATCATCTAATTTAGAAGATTGTATTACTGTTCACGGCTCTGGTATCATAAATGATGCTCGAAACCAATTGGCCCATGGTGATGTCACCATGCACCCTGAGAATTGTGAGACAGAAAAACCATTCCCAAATTCTAATATTTTAGCTGGATCTGGTGAAGGGAACACAAAGAAGATAAAAAAGAGAAAAGCTAGAACACAATTTAATATTTTGAGTTCAGAGATGGAATCCTTATCTCCAGATCATGTGAATCCTGATAACCTTGCAAATAATGTGGACGGAGGTACAGTTCTATTGTCGAAAGATCCATCTGCTTCTAAAGTTTTAGATCAGTCTGTTCAAAACGATGTTGAGTCAATAACTGGTTTGGATGGGGTTACTGCTTTACATGAGGAAGGGGAGTTTTTAGAGACTCAGTTTTATGCTGCAAAAAACAACAATGGTGATGCAAATGAGGTTTCACCATCTTCTAAAAGGAAAAAAGTTACAGCTAACCCAAATTTAACTCAATGTCAATCTCAAATCAGTGCTGTTATTGTGGTTACCACCACATCTGATGTTGAAGCTCCTGTCAATCTCAATGATAACCAAGAACATCAGAAAGAATTTGCGTTGTCAAGCATGGGTATGTGTGTACCGACTTCTGTTCAGTCAATGCTTTCTGTTCAGTCAATGCCTTATTCAGAGAGTATTACTAAAATGTCTGACAATATTTTGAGTGGAGGATCTTTTGACTCTACTGATGCAAATAGGGAAACCATGAGTTCCGAGTATTCTGAATTACAACACTCAGATATAGTCTCTTTTTCACCATGTGAGGACTTAGCATTTCAAAACGATCAATTCTCACCATTGGAAGGTGAGTTCATAGGAAACATTACTCCAGTTGTGCTTGTGAGTAATACTCAAATTGATGTTTTAGGTGTTGGAAATACAATGGCAGAAAAGACTGATCTACAGGCCGTTAAGGAACATTATCAATATAGAGAATTTGTGCAAAGGTCACCAAGAGCTGACATGGAACCTAATGATCTCAATGTTAAGAATGATTTGCTTGCTCAGCAGAACCTTATGTCCTGTCCAACTAGTGGTGATGAAGTCACTACAAGTAATTCGAATGATGAATTCACTGTGGATGCACCTGGTGCATTATCAGATATATTTTCTCAAGGGATGGCATCTGAAGTACCAGATAAAAGGATTTTAGAATTGACAGCTATCAATGATGAAAATATTTGTGGGGTTGAAGAAAATACTTCGTCAGTACATCAGACGAAACATAATAGTAGGTCAGATAGTGCATTTGGACACAGTAATATGATAACAAAGAAAACAATTTCAGAACCATCCCAAGTTTCTTCCAAAGTTACAACTCATGCTCTAAATTCATATCGTTTTGGGTCGAGTGGGACCAAAAATCAGTCAGGTAGTGTCATTCCCAAAACTTTTCCAGGTCATTCTTTTACCTTTTTGAAGTCGGAGACAAAGACATCTGCCTCTTCAACTCATGTGTCAAAGCCTCGAACTTGGCATCGGACAGGTAATAATCCCCCTATTTCTTTACCTAGAATCAATTCAGTAAGAGCAGTTCCTCCCAAAAGGCCAATTCTAGAAAGGAAAGGGAACTTTCAAAATACCTCGTATGTTCGTAATGGAAACAGTCTTGTAAGGAAACCTACTCCAGTTCCTGCTTTACCTCAAATTTCCTCTGTAAACAAGTCATCTTCGGGCTTGGGTGAAATATCAAAAAGCACTAAATCTGAAAGCAGGGCTGACGTGACAGATCAACCAATGTACCTGAGAGCAGGAGCAAGATTTTCTCAGCAGAGGCAGAGACAGAGAACACCTCCACTACCAATTGACATCAAATCAGAGGAAAATACATCTTCCTCATTGGTAGAACCTCATTCTGGTGGTTCCTGTGAAAATGTATCTGATCCTAAAACATTTATAGAAATTAATAATAATGCACAGAACTCTTCTGAAGATGCACTGAAGCATTGTGAAATTCCAGAAAATCAACATGTTCCATCTGATAATGGGGAGAGTCAAGTTGAAGCAAACGAAGGCAATCCCCTTTCTTTGAATATGAAGAGAATAGTATATATAAAGCCCAAAACAAATCAATTGGTTGCAACATCAAATTCGCGTGATGTTTCTCTCTCCACTGATGACAATGGCCAAACTGCCTTCTCTGATGGCTACTACAAGAGAAGAAAAAATCAGTTGGTTAGGACTACATTTGAAAGCCATTCCAACCAGACTGCTGCAGTGCCTAATGGCACAGCAAATTCTGATGGACAAGGAACTAGTAATGCTCTTTGCAATACGAGGTTTAGTAAGAAGCGGTTACATAAGGGTATGCATGAATTACTTATTATGTTGCTTAATTTATCTATCTTTCTAAGTCACCCGTGCTTATGATCTAATGCTAAGTTAAATTATGATTTAGACAGGATGTGAGGGTCTTTTTGTTTGAGATTCAAATTGGTTTTTTCAGTTCAATATTGTAGTGTATCTAATAAGAATCAAAGTGAATTGCTTATTAGTTGCTACTTGCTAGATATACTTATCCTGTAGTTGCTGCATATTATGTTGTTATATCTTCTTAATATTAAATGCTTGTTTCTTGAGCATGAGTCTTGGCCCAACGGTAAAAAGTTGTGCTTTGGTGACCAGCTGGCCATGGGTTTAAATTTGGAAACAGCCTCTTTGCATATGCAAGGCTATGTTTGCTTACATTGACCCTTCCTCATACCTTTACACTGTGAGTAGCATTCTCGAATAGGTGTATGTTAGTCTATATGACTTGAGCTTTTCTTATACGGCTTCTCTTTTTTTAATTCACCATAAGCAGATGAATCTAGAACCACCAGCGCTGTTCCAATTTTATGCTATTTTTCATTGAATTAGTGATTTCATTTGCAGCTGTCAGGAGTTCATGCAAACGTTCAAGAGCCTCACTAGTGTGGACACTCTGTAGCAAAAATTCTTCTGAAAATGACAAGAATTCACGTCATAATCAAAAGGTTTTGCCTCAATTGTTTCGATGGAAAAGAGCAACATTTTCTTCAAGTTTCAATAGTAGTTCCGTATCTGCAATCAGGTACTTGAGTATTTGCATTGCTTCCCCTATGAATGTTTATCTTTTTGCCTTGTTTTGGTCATTTGCATCAACAGTATTCCATTGCAGTTGTCAATTAATGTTTGTCTTTCAGCAAAAAATTGCTTCAATTGAGAAAGAGGGATACTGTTTACACTAGGTCAAAACACGGGTTTTCACTTTGGAAATCCAGAGTTTTAGGTGTTGGTGGTTGTAGTTTGAAATGGTCCAAATCCATTGAGAAGAACTCAAAGCAAGCTAATGAGGTTAGATTGTTGTTTTATACTAGTGTTTTTTAATAAAGTTTCCTTTCAATTTAAGCATAATTTGTATTAAATTACAAAATAGATCTAAGCTATGATTCATACAATTTCTCATGATTATTATAGGAAGCTACACTTGCTGTTGCTGCTGTAGAGAGGAAGAAGAGAGAGCAGAAAAATGTGGTTTGCATCAGTTCTCAGTCAAAGAGTAGGAAGCATTCTTTCCAAGAGTGTTCGTCATATCATAGTGCCGACAACTCTGTTTTTGTGCTCTTAAAATCTATTCTTTATGTGTTAATTATCTTTGTCAGTTACTCTGACTTTGAAAGTAGTGGTTGAATTTGCAGGAGAGCGAATATTTCGTATTGGTTCAGTTCGTTACAGAATGGATCCCACCAGGAGGACACTCCAGAGGATTTCAGGTGGGTAACAATTTTATATCAATCATTTTA